TCTTTTATAAATTGAGGTGCATTCTGGTTGGGTGCATAGATATTGATAATTGAGATCTCATCATATTGAGTATTCCCCTTAACAAATATAAAGTGGCCATCTTTATCCTTGCTTCCTTATGTTGGTTTAAAACCTATTGTATCTGCGAAAAAAATTGCAACACCTGCTTTTTTCTGCTTTCCATTTGCCTGGAATATAGATGACTATACCTTCACCTTGAGTCTATATTTATCTTTTAAGGTAAGATGAGATTCATGTATACAGCAGATGTCTGGTCTGAGTTTCTGTATCCAATCAGCCAGTCTGTGCCTCTTCAGAGGACAATTCAAGCCATTCACATTAATTAAAATTATTGAGAAGCCTGGTATCGAGTTGTTCAAAAGTGCAGTAGACATTTTTAATCCTTTTGCCACTGTGGAAGTTGGAATTTGATCAATAGTTTCTGAGTGGGTTTACTTTTGTGGTGGAGGATTGCACTGGTCCTTATGGAATATAGGTCTGAGAATATCTTGAAAAGCTGGTTTAGTTATGGCAAATTTCTTCAATGTGTGAATGTCATTAAAGTATTTAATTTTTCCATCATAAATGAAACTCAGTTTAGCTGAATACAGGATCCTGGGTTAAAAGTTATTTTAGTTTTAGGAGATTAAATGTCAATGACCTCCTTCTTCTGGCCTGAAAGTTTTCGGCAGAGAGATCTGCAGTCATTCTAATATTCTTCCCCTTGTAGGTTATGGTTTTCTTATGTCTAGCTACTTTCAGGATTTTCTCTTTAATATTAACTTTAGTAAAGTTAATTATAATGTGTCTGGGGGATGTCTTATTCAGGTTGAGTCGTGCTGGGCTTCTGAAGCTGTCTGCTATCTGAATTTTACGATATCTTGGCATATCTGGAAAGTTCTCTTTCACAATTTCATGAAGAAGAGCCTCTGTGTTTTGTGAAGCAACTTCGTCGCCTTCAGGGATTCCTATAAGGTGAATATTAGTTTTCTTTGAAGTATTCCAGAGCTCTCTGAGAGAATGATCCATTTTTGCTTTCCATTTTTGTTCCTCTTTGGATGCTTGGGCAGGTTCAGAAGGTTTGTCTTATGTGTCTGAGATCCTTTTTTCTGCCTGCTGCATTCTGTTACCACGGGATTCTACCATATTTTTCAGATCTTTGAGGGCTGCAATCTCTTGCCTCAATGTTTCAAAATCTTTGGTGGTTTTGTCTTTGAATTTGTTGAATTCTTGAGTGAACTTTTGGAATGCTCCTTGAATTTCTAATTCTATCAATCTTATTTGAAATCCAAATTCTGAATTTGATTTCTGACATCTTAGCCATCTGTTTATGAAGGGGATCTTCAGTTGCACCTGCCACATCCTTTCCTGGGGGGGGTTGATCTTCTCTGGTTATTCATATTACCAGAGCTTTTCCAATGATTCTGCCCCATGATTATTTTACCTTGTTTGGATTTTCCCCTTGAGCTTTGTCAAAGATCCATACGGTGTTACGGCCTGAGAGACTGGGGACCTGCTTGGTGTGGTGGGGCTAAGTGGCTCTGTCTTATTTTCAGCTGGTCTTTGTCCTACCCTAGTGAATCAGTTACTCTTGGTTGAAGTCTCAGCTGTGGAGAAATACCAGCAATTAAGTTCCACCGCCCCCCACAAACAACAATTGGGCAAGGAAAATCAAACTTTCCCTCAACCATACACCCAGGGTGCCACTTTGGATAGTCCTCGGGTGATTTGCTTGGTTCAAGGGGTGCAAATCAGTTGTCCCAGTCAGTACCAGTCTCAGGTGAGAGAGTTCAAAAAGTCTCTGGCAACTGGATAGGAGGGGTCTGCTGGCAACTCAGATATGACTCGCTCCAGTGTTCCATGAGGGCAGAATGACCCACCCAGCAAACGAATTAGTCTGAGAAGGTTGATGCCTCCTTCCCCACCTTGCACCCAGTCACTGGTAATCCCACAGGGCTATGACCCAGTTCAATCCAGTGAGCAGCTGCTCCCGGAGTTTATGACTACCTGAGTCACCAGGAGATCTGAGTCTGGCAGGAGGACCTTGAGTGTTTTTAATATAGGCTGGGGCAGTTCACTCAGTTCTAGCCCCATACCTGGTTGATGTTGCTGCAGAACAGGACAGAGCAACTTCACAGAATTTGTTTCTGTCCCAGCTAAATTCTTCTGCAGGTCAGACACTGCTAGAGCAGATTAAAAAACTCAGCCCTGGGCAGCAAGCAATTAGAGTCTACACTCAGGTGTCAATTCCAGCCTCTGCCTGCCCACTGCCTTTGTCTCAGCTATAATCCCCTAAAGGCTGGGTGCTACTAGGCTCCGTGAAGATTTCTTTTGGCTAACCCCTCCCTGGAAGTCTGTGGGCTCTGAGCTTGCTCCACCCGGGTCGGTACCACTTAGGGCTTGTCTTTACTCGCAGAACTTCGCAAGTCCACTCAGCCAAAATGTCTGGAACCTCTGGTTACCTGGGGAGACAGGGCGTGTCTGTCCAGTTTGGCCTCTGGAGTGTGTGCTACTGCTGCTGCTGCTGCTCTGCAACTCAGGATACCACAGTTCCTGTATTGTTCCCTCTGAGCTGACTATCTTTCTCACTCCCATGCCACAGAATCAGCACAGACCAGCACCAGCCCTTTCCCCCTCCACTCCTCTCATGAAAATGCCCAAGAATCTGAACTCCATGGATGACAGACCTCCCGACCTTGGGGTGAGAGTGGAGGGGAGTCCTGGGAATTCAAAGTTGCTGGTAGAGAATATATACAGTTTTATACAGTTTTACAGTTTTATGCCTAGCAGGAGAGTGCCATGCCCCCTAATAGGGGTAGGAAGCCCAGTTTTTAGAGGGTCTCTCCCGAGGGATAGAGTGGGAGGACATTTGAACTCTGCTTGCTTGTTTGTTTGGAGTAAACTTCAAGCCCTTCTTGTGGGGGAGGGGACTCCCATCCACTTGGTGGTGGATTTTGTACATTTTGATTGTATTTTTGGGGTCGCAGCTCACCTCAGCAAAGTTGTTGCACGTTCTTCAATCTTCTCTCTTGGCTCAGCTCCAAACCATCAGCTTACTTGCTAAACTTCTGTCCTTTAAATCTCCTTCTGGATAAGAGCCTCTGTGGAAAGCTGGCTACAGTCTTCCATCTTACCTCCACCCCCAGTTTAAAGGTTTTCAAAAGAGCAAAGAAAAAATATACTTTTTTGTGTTTGGATACAAGAAAACTTACCATAAGTTTCCACTGGGTCCTATTTTAAGTCTCAATACTTCATGAAATTTTAACAATCTTTTTTTTTCTATATCTTGAAACATTTTGCTACTTTATCATTACTCACCAGTTATTAATATGTTAAAAGGACAAGAACAGTTATTTAGATTAAAGAATGATAGAATCACCTAAAACATAATACTAGTGAAATATGTCACCATCAAATTATTTTTCCTAGTATTCTAAAGTTAAAATCAAACATACACACACACATACTCCCTAATGTCTTCACTAGGTAAATGGAAGTGAGCATTTATTGATTATCTATTATCTGCCCAATGTTGCTTTAGGGCTTTTATTTGCATAGATTATATTATTTAAATCTCACCTACACTTGTGAGGTGACAGTTATTATCCTTGATTTATCAATACAGAAATTGAGGGTCTGAGAGCATTTACATTGTTTTATATCTTATACTGTCTCATACTTATAATGTTTAATTCTAGATACTATGTACTCTAAAGCACAAAAACTGAGCACATCTTAGAAATCAGATATACTAAATAGTCTAGGGAGGACATCCAACTAACCAATCAAATTTAAGAGAGAAGATTTGTCAATAAGTATATAAATACTGATATTGTTACTTTTGGATTACTTTGACCCCCCCCCAAGCCCCGGGAAGCTGAGTTTACTAGCATTTTAATTAAAAAGACCATGAAAAATGAAATACAATTATCATTGCATAAGAAAGTAGAAAATTCTAATTGTGTAACTCTGTATGTGTTTGAACAGGAACATAAACACTTTTTTTGAAATAGCTATATTTTGTTATCTTACAGATAAATCCAAATCAAATGCCAAAGTTGAATTGATGACCAAGAAAAGGGTAAGATCATATTTTATATTATAAAATTTTCAAGCATATAACATATATACCCTTATAAAAATATATAAAAAGTCCATTTAATACTGTTTAAAAAATTAAATCATTTAAAACATGAAATATAGTAATTTTTGTTCCTAAATGTTAGTTGAGTACATTTCCTTTGTTAAGTTGACACCAGAAAATTAATATTGTTACTTACATTAGTGTTATAGAATTATCAGAAATTAGAACATTCAATAGTTGTAAGTAAGCAAGTAAAAAATTGCTTTTATTTAAATTAGATTTGACATACATATTTTCATATATTAACTTTTTATATATGTACTATGCATGTGTGGAAACAACTCATGGAACAATTAAATAATTATAGTTCACAGCTTAATATAAACTTTACCTTAAACTTAAATAGACAACAAGTTCAGCCATTCTAATGAATTTTCTGAAGCTAGAAAACTGGTCATGGAAATTTATAAAGTCAGTAGCATTTTTAAAGAATTATTAAAATTTAACATGTTATTTTTAATATTGTGTACAGACAGTTGTTTAACTGTACTTACTGTGAAAAATATGATTGGAATAGGAGGAATCTTGATGTTCTCCTCAAGGGATGGCATTCTTACCACTAAAAAAAGAGAAAGTGTTGATCCTTAAAACAAATTCTTCTGGATTTATAATAGAGTCACAAGAAAAGGCATTATAATGGAAAAGAAAGTGTGTGGTAAGGATTTCCAGTGTTGAGTGGTGGATTGGGTCAAGACAGACCTGGGGAAGAACATAAAAGGATATTAGGCATGAAAGAGCATTATTTTTGTGTTCTAAATATATATTTTTATGAGTTGTTTTAAAATATTTTATCATTTTTTCCATTTGGCTTGTAAGTGGAATCTGGACTTTTTACTGGCTTAAACAATGCTTATGCTCCTCTATGAAGAAGAATTCAATATCATAGAAGACAAGTTTGCCCTTTATAAAAGAAAGGAAATAGAACTTGTGTGTATGTCTGGAGATTTAGACAGGAATATGTGAAGTGGAGCAGCATTGTTAATGTGGATGGATGTATTTGAGTCTTTGCTAAAGAATATTTAGAGTTAAACATTAGAAAGATAAATAAATAACATTTCTGTATATTGCTTTATTTTTACCAATTGTTCTCAAGGAAGGTATTACTGTACCTAGGACAATGCCATACAAAGTGTGGTCCCTGAGCCAGAGATGGCCTTGTAAATTTTCTATTGGTCTGCAGTGAGATATGTACAGAAAGTAAGAGTACTCAGTTAGGAATTTGTATGGTAGTTTGACAGAGAATTTTTGTCTGTTAAGTTCAGTAATAATAAAATGGAGTTTGTATGTTTTGTGTCTTTGTTTTCCGTTTAATTTCTTTTCTAACTTATTTTATTTCATGGTACATTTTAGAAATTTTTGGAGGTGCTTTAGGTTATAATAATTTTTGAAAATATAAGTCATTTTATTAGGCAAGGCCTAGGCCTACTAGATATCTTGAAATAGTTGGAATAGGGCCATGTAACACAATTGTCCAATATTTGGAATGACTTTTGAATGTTCTGCTATTCTCAATAAATTACAAAATATAATAGTATATTGATTTAACAGAAACTAATACTGAATCATAACATGTTAGACCAAATGCCAAGAAATTTAGAAGGCTTATTATGTAGAGAAAAGTTGATAGGGAATAGACAGATTGTTCATAAAAGTACTGAGTAATTTACTTAATCTCTATTAAACATAATATAACATTTTAAACTATATGTTTAGCTATAAAAGGCAGAACTTTTTGAAAAAACATAGAAAGTAGTTATAAATGTGTAGTAGGAAATTTGAGATAACTTTTGATAGACTTAAAATCAAATATTACTAAATTAATAGACATAAAAGCATAATTCATAAAAACGTTTTCTTTCTTTTATTTATCATCAAAATAGTCTTCCTTACCTACTGAAAGTTATAGTTGAGGGTTTTCAAAATATAAGAAAAAAGTGTGTGGTCTGATATATTTATTTTCTGTGATATTTTGTTATTAGGTCATCCCATAGGGAATTATTTTGCCCAGATCATTTGGGAGAATATCATACTTCTCATGTTCTATACTTAGATAATCTGTATTTTATTTTGCAATATTATCTCTATTCCATTTAAGATTAACTTCTTTCCTATCATATAGAAATGTCTGCTCTGCTATTAATCAACCTGTGAGTGATTTTTATTCTTCTGTTTATGAGTATTTCTGCTGGCATATTTTCCTGTAGAATATGTATAGAATAACATTGGCCATCCTATTTCACTTATATCAAACTTATTCATGATAGGGATGACTAGAATTTATCTTATTGATTATGTCTTCAAATGTAGTTGTAAATAAAATGTTTTTTTGTTTCTATTTTATATTTTAGTTATAATTTTTTGAAATTATTCATATAGACAGATGTATTTATAGGGTGCAGACTTTAATGCTGTAATAAGACTCCAAATTACAATGAGTCATAAAAGGTGAAAGTTTATCACTTTATCATATGTTTTAACAAAGGTGGGCCATTTGTTCAGGTTAGGAGGAGACTTTGCTCCACAAGATCATCCAGACTGCTAGGTTCCTTCCCTACCCAAATGTGCGGTTCTGATCTATATGTTCAAAGATTGATTACCATATCCACATCCTTGCCCATGAAAAAAGTAAGATAGAGAAAAGTCACAAACAATTAACTGAAGAAGAAAATATGAACTCGAAGCTTCAAATGTCACTTCCCACTGGCCCAAATTAGTATTGTGGCTACACTCAGTGTCAAGGGGATGATAGGAAATACAATTTCTAGGTGTCCAGCTTGGGGGAAGATTCCATTGCTAAAAGAAGGAAGGGGAACTTAGATATTTGGTTATAGCTAGTGGTCTAAGAGTTTTATTTTAACTTAGGAAATGGAATGTCTCAAATTATTTGTTATGAAAGGAGTTATTGGATCTGGTAGGTTTGAAAAACATTATCATAGGTACTACCATAATTATTCTTAAAAGAAATTGATCCAAAGGTATTAAGTGACTAACCAAAGAGTATCAGAGCCAGGGTAGGAATCTTGTGATGGTCTATTACCACAGCTTCCTTTATCAACTCTTTGTTTTGTAAATCACTGGAGTTTTTTCATTTGACTCTTATGTTGTTTTAAACTTCTTGCTTATAAATGGCTGTAAGCTTAGTTTTTAAAAACAGTTCTTTTTTTTTTTTTTTTTTTTTTTTTGAGACAGTCTCACTATGTCACCCTCGGTAGAGTGCCGTGGTGTTAGAACCTCAAACTCTTGGGCTCAAGTGATTCTCTTGCCTTAGTCTCCCAAGCCGCTGGGACTACAGGTGCCCACCACAATGCCTGACTATTTTCTTTTGCAGTTGTCAATTGTTTTTTAGCTGGCCCAGGTCAAGTTTGAACCCATCACCTTCAGTATATGTGGCTGGCGTCATAATCACTGTGCTACAGGTGCCAAGCCTTAAAAACAATTCTTTATCTGTATGGTACTTCCAGATTATAAAGCATTTCCACAAATACTATCTTTTACATCAGACCCATGGGAGAAAAAAAAAGAGCAATTATTATTATTGACCTCATTTTACAAAGAAGGGCAATTATGCTTAGAAAATTTAAGGAACTTACTCCTATCTACACAGTGCTCATTAGATACTTTTATTTAATCTTAATTAGTTTTCTTTAGTTCCTGTTAAAATATTGACAAGGCATCCCTACTAAAGTTTCAGTGTTGATTTCACTTAGTAAGGTAGCTTTTATTTTTCTGTACATTTTGGATTCTTGGGCACTGAGGGATGTTTTTAAGAGGGTATTGTTTTATAGCAAATGTTATAGTTAGACAAAAGAAAGCTGTTGGTATGAAAACAAAATATAATAATGGTGCAACATATTAAGTGCCTACTAAGTGGCAGGCATTACATATGTGTTATTTCATTTTATTCCAGCAAATAAATATCTCATAATATGAGATATTCATTATCTCTGGTTCACAAGTAAAGAAAAAATAGGGATAGGGATGTTGACTACCACAAAAAATACAATACAAAAATGGATTATAAAAAGTAAATAATAGTCTCTATAGCCACTTACCCAGGTTTACAAATCTGAGCAGTTTGTATTTTATTTATTTATATAAATAACTGTGTGTACATGTATAAATGTTTTATGATTATTTTTATAACAATGAGATCTCATTATATAGGTCACTCTATAGATTTAACTACTGACTAACAAATCAATATTGTTTTTAACCTTCTGCATAGCATACCATAACAGATGTATCAAAGTTTTATCAACCTGTATTGCTGACATATGGGTATTTTCAAAATGCTGGTATGGTTTAAGCAATATAAACGATAATTATAGTAAACACTTCTGCAAATATATTCTTAACATACTTGTGCTATTATTTATTTATTTATTATTGTTTCAGATTCATTGAGGATACAAAGAATTAGATCACACTAATTGCATATGTTAGGTAAAGTCCCTCTTATAACTGTGTCCCACCCCCAAGAGGTGTGCCATACACCTTAACCCCCATTTCCCTCTTTATAAGACAGAGTCCCAAGGAAGAATTGCTAGATCAAAGCTAATCACAGTGTCACCGTGTGTCACCCTGCCTCCCTTTGAATAAACATGAGAGGATATTGAGGAGTGAGTTGTTAAAGTTATGGGTTGGCCTGTGCTGAGTTGTAGTAGCATTTGCTGCCACTTTTTTGAACCAAGATATGAGTGTTGCTGTCTTGGGTACCATTCTTAAGTGCCTACTAGGGTGAAGTATGGGTGTTCTTTGTACAAGTCTCTGCCCCCTTTGTACAAGTCCCTTAGCCCACCTTTTTAGCTGTTCAACTGTCTGTGATAGAGATGAGTAATACCAATGCACCTACCTGACCACCTCTGCCCCACTCATTAACAGTCTGAGTGAAAGAGACTGTGACTAAGTCATTCTAATCGCTCTGAGTTTCACTTGAT